TGGCTTAATTGTGTTTATAATTATATTTATATTGCTAAATTATTCTTTTAATTATTTTTATACTGGTGAATTATATTTATAATTATAATATTATAATGTAGCAGTTCTGCAATATTGTTTTTAGATTCTTTGACAGAATTGTTGAAACGAGGCGAATGTTAAAACCCATATGTATGTATATACATATATACCGAGACACTTTAATGACAATTTATTCAGTCTTACAATTTATTGTACTGTTTTCGTTTTTTATGACGGTTTGAATCGTGAGTTTTATGTAACAGATGTTGACAGTTATTTCTGGACCAATTCCAACCCCCAGTTAATAACTTCTACATATGTTTATACATGTGTCTACAATTTGAGACGGTTAATATAAAATACGTGAACAGTTTACGATCATTAACGACTGAATTCGGTAGACACTTTAAGTAACTTAAATTTTGTACAAGTTGATTTCGATAGATTTTTAAACAGATTAAGTCCACGATGGATTGTAGCAACATGAAAAATCTCCATTTTTTGTTTTCATTTTGATGTCTTTTTATGATCTCTGTGATTAATTTGTATTGCATATATAAATACAAAAATATACATATACGTATATAAATTTACATGAATAAATAAGATTTATTTATACACGTGAATAAATATAATTCATGTATATACATAAATAAATACGACTAATTGATATACAATACATAAATAAATACGATTAATTGATATACAATACATAAATAAATATGATTAATTTACATAAATAAATAAATATGATTGATTCACATCTATGATCAATTAATTATGTCATCAAATTCCTTGATCTTTGAAATTATTGTGGAAATTGGAAATTATCCTAATTACTGAACTGTACATTTTCAGCATTAATCTTTACAGCAAACGCTACCGATCGTAATCCAACGAAATACAAATTTCATCAACGTTGAACGCTGATTTAATACGCCTTCGTATCTGTTAGGCATGTGTATTTGGCAAACAAGTGTCTTAGCGTATCTTAGCTAAAACGTGAATTTGCACAAAGATCCGCACAGACTCTTGTACTATACTAAGCACTGGACCGAAGAACTTCATACAAATTCTCATCTTTATGAATTATTCTATAGAAAATCCTATGGAAAAAAATAATTTCACCAACTAAAATACTCCTTTCAATAAAATAAGAGTGCCATTGGGGCGTTTATTAAATCTCAAGTTCTTCTATTCTGCAAATTGGCAGATACTAAAAATACATCTGGATCCACAATCCACTGATTATATATTAATAATATAATTTACTAAACTGTACTAAAATATTCTTTAATGACAGCAAAATAAATATAACATTGATGTTTACTAAATCTCAAGTTCTGCTATTCTGCAGATTAGCAGATACGCACACATCACACATAAATATCCACAATATTGTAATTATATTGTTACTTATAATCTATTAGCCATAATTTGCAAACTTCTTTCATCGTTAAAACTTTTGTATTCGTACTGCTACTTTTAATATTCAAAGAATTAAAAAATATTGTTGCATTATTTTCAACTCGTTAAAATTGTTAAGAAACGAGACAAATGTCTACGTATCTCCTGTATCTTGTAAACAATCTTTATCTTTCATTAAAACCCGCGGTTTACTTATAAACGTATCTTTACGATCGCAATAATCGGTATTTTGACGGATCCTATAAATCTGGTGTTAAATGCCAACTCTGCTTGGTGTTTCAGCACTCAAACTTTGGGACTCAGGTCCATTTGAAACCCGACCATAAATATTGTTCTCCGATTCTCTAGTTTCTGATTACCGATTGAACTTTTCACACGTTTTATTGCAAACTTCTTCTATCCTTCAAACTTTTTTCATTCGTATTGCTATCTTTAACCGCACAGTTCTTCAGTTCTGTTTTCATCCGAAGCTGGAATAATCCGTTTCAATTCCCTATCATTTTTCATAATCACGGAGGTTATGTCAAGGTTATTTTCTTGAAATAATCAGAGCAACATTAAATTACCCGACGGCGATCCCGGTCCGACCGGTAATCCAGTCGTTCCACTTTTCAGGATAGCTCGTAGAGGCTGATTCCACTGTCACATCGTGAACTTGTCACCGAACTCGTGTTTCGCAATTTTTGGAAGACTTCAGACGAAACGAATTTCCGCTGTTTTGTTAACCCATTTGTCTTGCATTACACTATTCCGAGAGCACGCGACACCGGTCGACAGCCAACAATTTCTAGTTTGCGATCGACCTTCCGTTCCGGGCTCGCGCGGATAACAATTAGCAATTTCGTGAACGGGAAATCGAAGTGTTTTCGGACGGAGTATTCCCCAAACTAATTGCCATAGTGTGTTCACAGCACGCGCACAAAACGTGTGCAAATTTTACATTGAATAATCGAACGACTTTGTAATTGTCGCCGGCAAACTGACCGATCCGAATATGGCAAAAATGATTTTTGGACGTCAATTGCCTTGGTATTTACGATTGGACCGCGGATTTTATGCACATTTATGATTAAATGATACCGACTAACGAAACCATTGGAGGAGTTTTTGAGTACTAGTACATTTTTCTCAATTCATTCAAATCATCGAAAGAAAAAATACATTTTTATTTAACTTCTGTTTCTTAGAATCGATTTAATAAATTCTTATTTTGCATATAGTTCTGCAGTCTATTCACGATAGTCGAGGAAACAGTTTAAAACGCGGCGAACCATTTCTATTATTCTATTATTATCAATCTTGTGCAATTTCATAGTTATAAGTTATACTGTTCCGGTCTCAAGGTCTTCCTATCTTTTTTAGTTCCCGGCCTTGTTTTCGATGAAAATCGAAACCAAATCAACGCGCTGAAAAGCGATCGAATGAATTAAATACAATTTAATTGAGTGGAATTCATGTTCAGACGTTAACATTTATTATGCAGCACACATCTATTATGTTATGTCTATTTCTACGTAATAATCTATCACATGTGTATGATAAATGATAATAAAATGCACGGAAAGATTTTTTATCCAAATCAACAAATAAATCAGCTTCCTATATCTTGAGCAATCTTTTCACGTACAATATAAAAATTGTCCAGATTAATTGCAAAAAATAGAAACTAAATAAAAAGTTAATTTTGTCTTAAATAATTTTATTAGATTGAAAATAATGCAACTGAAATGCAGTGCAGTCCAGTCATAAGTGTCAAAAATATTGGGAACGATCGCAATGAAGTTTGAATTTTGAATTTCTAACGAGAAACTATACAAACCATTATAGAATCAATGATATACGACTTCCACGGCTTTCAACTATCTTTTTCCAGAAAGCTATCTATTTATGTATCAAGATTGCAAGAGATAGGAACCAAACAGACATTTCCCTCATTGTTTAATAACTATAACGAGTTCAGAATAGCACATCGATATTACTCAACAATATCTTCCT